ACTACCGCAGTTCATATATGAATTATTTCATATAAACTTCACATCTTGACAAACTATGTTCACTTTGAACCCACTTGAGTGCTGATTGACGTTTTTTCTCTTTTTCTTTCCTTAGTTACCATATATTACATTCATTGACTAGTTTGTACAGCAGATAGATAACCTACATATATTAATTACTTTAAATCAACCTCCTTAATTCCTTATCTCGTACAAAAAGTTAGCTACTTAGTACCTACAAAAAAACCCTTATATAGACCGCTTGGTAGTTATCTTACTTGACAAGGGAAATAAATGCGCCCAAAGGCTCTCCTCAAAGTATGAGTGTTTATGTAGGAGGAAGAAAGTAGGAAGATGTGGAAAATGCTAAGAAAAGATAGGGAAATGATTCTTTTCACCATCATTAGATATCATTCACCTTCATTAGATTCTATTCACTATCATTTGACATCAGTCGCAATCATTAGACATCATGGAATCAACCTTGGAATCAGTATATTTCGTCAGATCGAAAATACACTTTGTAAAGGTCGATCATGCTTTGAAGCATCGAGAATAAAAGACCACACAGGTCGACACAGTGTGCAACGAGAGAATGATAGACCAGGGATTCTGGTAGCGATTGATTTACAGAAAACTTTCGAATTTTTAATATTTTAAACATTCTTTGGATCAGTTTGGCAGAAATCTAATTTTGGAACGTATTCGTTTTCATGCCGAAGACACGGACTTCCTATACAAAGTTAAATTAGCTAAGTATGTAATAGTTTTACTACAAGTGCTGATCGTATCGTTTTTGTGTAAATCGTAGTCCCATAAGGCGACCCTCTTTCGCCTTTACGCTTCATTCTTGCCTTCCAAAGACTTGCATATCATAGAAGACAAGACTTTAAAACTCACGGATTGGCGCATAAATAATGAAGGTAAAGTAAAATTAGCGCCTTTATCAAATAATGTGGTGTGTGGTTAAAAGGTAAGCTATTTGTAATTCTAAACTTGAGCTCTTTTCGAGATTTCAGTTTTGGTCTTTACGCAGATCTGGCCAGAAAACAGAAATATTTGCAGATGGACTTTAAGACCTCTGCGAGGTTAAAGTGCACACATCGATTAAAATACAGGAATTTTCTTTTCATTACCACAAGCCAAGAAGAAAAACAGAAAAAATAAATTTATATGTTATTCCTTTTTCACGAAAATTTAAAGAACTCTTAGCATGTGGAAGTGGCGAGCTCTTCTCTTACAGTACTCGGAAGAATTTGGATTGTTATTGACACGTTTAATTGAACTAAATTTATGAGTAATGTTCCTTAATTTCTATATCAGGTGACCTTATGAAAAATGTACTTGGCTAATTGTTCTATTCTGTTGTTTTATCCGAAGGATTACCATAATGATAAGATCAAGTGATCCGCTCTTATCAGTGATCTATATATAAGAAAGCTTGATATTTAATCTATAGGTTTGTTTACAGATTGAAAAATATATTGACGATTGTAATTAACAACCCTTGAAAACACTTTTTTCGACAAATTCAGGTGAAGTTGGCTTGTTGTAACTTTTACGTCGACCGTAAACTTTTTATTTATCGGCGGACTCAGTTTTCACGTACTGCCTCGTGCAAATGTAGTTTACAACCCAAACAATATGGAATGATAAGTACCCGTACATTCTTATCAAAAACAAAATCGACTTTCACGAAACATGTGGTCATCGATCGCAGAATAGTTAAGGTCGGAGATATAATTTCTCTTATTTCACGGAAAACTGGTCCGCGATGAAAAGGAAATTCTGATTGGTTCCTTGAACGGTCCACATTTTGGACTTATATGGACCGCTTAGATGGACCAATCACGAACTAGTATGGATGAATTGCTTTTTCAGAACACTGGACCAAAGAAATCAGTTTGCCGTCAAGTAGATATCTTTTCTCCTTCATATTTGGTGGGCAATTTCAGTTTGACCTTCACGAAAGCGACATGACCCGAAAATACTTGTCGAAAAAATACTAATTAAGAAAAAACACGACCGACCTGTCCCAGGAGCCCATTACCTGCCTGTCCACAATACGCACCTCACGCTACTTTTTAGTTCCATTACAGATACACATATTGGTACACTCTAGAAAACGGATACGATTCCACGAACCTTATTATTCCTTAGCCATTAGAATTTGACGAACCCCTATTAAAATAAAGTTCAACCTCTTGAAAGTTACAACTAAAATGAACGACACTGACAAACAAACAAAAAAAAAATCGATAAAGAAAAATAGAAAAAACAAAGACAAAAAACAAGCCAGAGTATTGACTCCCCACCTTTCCCCCAAAAATGGCTGGCTGTTTCAATTCCCCAGCTCTTTTGTAGTCTTCGTCTAAATGTTTCAGCACGGACCCGTTACACTTTTCTGTGCTGATGAAGAGTAACGCAGCAATTAAGATGCCAGCTTGCTTCATGAATCGCTTCATTGTCTCCGTCACTGAATTCTTGTGATGTTTGAGTTGAAGCTTTCAAACGAGTTGACAAACTTCTCGATCTCGTCGTAAAATTTTACACCAACTGAAAATGCCGGCTGGCGTATTGTATTAATATTACTCCTCGGGTAACGTGGCCGTTTAGACAACGAAAGCCACTCACAGCGTAGAACGGGACAATACATTTCAAAGTTTGAGATTTCAACCAGTGATAACAAGATATGATAAATTATTGTAATACTGCTCTCCCTAATGACCCTGACTATTATTGTGAGATTACAATCTGTATGGACCACTTAAGACCTATAATAACACCCACAATTGTATATTTTTAGATAACATTAAAGACTTAAAAAAGTACTCTATGCAATCTTTCAGTATGTGAGTTTCGCGTACAATCGCAGAAATCTGCGCCCGAGTCACATAAGGTATAAACACGCCGGCGATTTTGTTACGCTGGTGTGACAAATTTCCAAAATAACGAAAACAAATGCTGTTAAAGCTATAGGAAGCTCGCAAACAAACAAATCCCCGAAAGGTAGACACAAGAAGAAACATGTTGTAAGGTGGCAGCGGTATGATGTCAGAGCAGGTTCACATCTTATTGTGTCACAATGAAACAGCTCGCTGCAACAATGTTCCTGCTATATTTTTTGCGTGTCTGTATGTTTGTCATTTTGCCCCTGCTTTGTGTCCCTGCATCATGTCCCTCCATGCGTGAGCACCTAACGTTAGAGCTTACGAAGAGCTAACCAAGCCAGTCTAGACAGAGAAATGTTTTTCATTAGAATTTATTTCTGTTGATGAATAATTCCTTGGTATACAGAACAATAAGTTTGCACTTCTTTCAGCACTTTTTTTTTAGGTTGATAGCATTCGAGATAGGTGAATCAATTTATAACCAAAATACTACTCTGAAATCAGCTGTCCTCAAACCCTTCAAGAGATCTGTTCCAAGCCCGTCCTATTGTTGCTACTTAGGCTCGTACAGCTTTCTACTTGCTGCGGACCATGTCGCAAAACTCTGTAAAGATAATGAGAAGTTTGAAATGAATAACTCCGACTAACAAAAAGGCGAGAATTTGATTAACATTTTTTCTACTGAGTGGTCAGTGATAGGAGATAGGAGAAGATGTAGCGCTTAGTTGGCTTTTAGCCTTTCCCCAGGCTTCACCTCGTCTTCAGGGTCTTCCGTTCAAATCCAAAGTGACTATTAGATTTGGGAGTACAAGGTTGCAAGAGGACTGGCCGTGAATTAAAAGAAAGGCCCTAAAAGTGAGGTTGATTCGAGGTTCAGCCCAAGCCTCATCGGTGTCACGGTCGTACCTTGGTAGTTGACTTTTCCATCAGCATCCACATCAGCTTCTTTGATCATGTCATCGATTTCTTTCTTTGAGTAACTCTTTCCGCCAAACGTCTTCATCACCAGGGCCAGTTCATCGCTAGTGATAAAACCATCCCCATTCGCGTCGAATTTTTTGAAGTAGTATTTCATGTCATCGGTGGTAATTGGTTCGCCAATTTGACTAGCCATCATGTCTTCAAACTCAGAAAATTCCACTTTCCCATTGCCTGGAAAGGGGATTAAAAAGGATCGTAGTAAACGCAAGGTTATATTGAGCTGAACAGAATTCAAGTTTTTAAGGCGCTGATACATAGCTGTATCATTCGATGCATTTTTTTCTTCCTTTTCATTGGCCGAGAGCCAACCACATGACCTGCAAATACTGCCTACAAATAATGGTCTGTTCATACGTAGTACCGTTTAAATGTGTTTTGCTGCAAATAATATTCTGCCCATGCGTAATTGTAACCATGATCTCTGGTGAAAAAATGGCAGATTGATCCCCTGAGCTGTCAGCGAGTGATTTAAATGAGAAAACAAATTTGGTGATCGAACTCAGTTATCGCAAAATACCGTTATTTGTCAGTGTCTCGCAGATCATTTATTTGCCTCCCCTTCGGCCTCGGTAAATAATTGATCTGTTCTCCACTGATAAATCACGATATTTTGCTCAACCTCGTCCTATAACGGTTAATTATTTTTACACAGCGTAATCTACCTGTTGCACGAGATGCTGTTTCTAGCAAATTGTTACGTCTTTTACAAAAATGTGATAAAGCCTAACGTACACCTGCAAAGTGTAACAAGCTTTCTATGGAAAGACCACTTTCAATTCACCCTCCCCCCCCCCCCCCCCCCCCCCGACACGACCTCGTGCAACCCAGAGCACAACATATGTTTTATAAACTGAAGGCAGTACTAGAGAACACTTGCTAGTTTGTAATACCGTTTCGGTCCATGGCTTTGATCATATCTTTAATTTCTTCATCTGACAGCTCCTGCCCAGCTTGCTTCATAGCTTCGCCGAGCTCCTCCACAGAAATCAACCCATCGCCATTCTTGTCAAATAGCTTGAAGGCTTGCGATATTTCTGATATGGAAAAAACAAATAACACTGCGTAATATACTCTTTCTCTTTTATAAGAATTAATGATTTATGAGAATATCGAGGCTGAAATTCGCGAAATTTTAAGAATATTTCAAGAATAAACCCGAGGCAGAGATTTTGAAAAAAAATATGTAATTTTGCGTGTTGAAAACTGAACACCATTATTTTCTTGTCCAGATACCAAATACATTCGAAAACTAAAATGTCATACGCTATAATCTAAGAATATTCTCAAGAATATTTTCAGCCTTAAATCCGCAGAAAAATAAGCATATCAAGCCTCGGCCGGAAGAAGAATATTCTTATAAAAAAAAGTGTAAAGTATGACCGTGGTTGCGAGATACGCGCGTGTTGAAGCGATTTGTGCAGAAATAAAGAAGGAGCGTGTGTGGAAATTAGTGACCATCTGGGCAAAGGAACATTAAGGAATATTAGCCGAGTTGCAAGGTGACAGCCACAAGATCTGCTGAAACAGTTGTTGTCTGAGTCTAGTTGCGCTAGCAAGGTGCCTACTTTTGGTGGTGCGCACACGTTCTGCGCATCACGCAAGCTATGGTTTAGCTCCACGCGCCCGCTGGGCCATGGGGCTGACATTGACGCAATCAACTACGCTATCACGTACTATATTCTTGTGAATATTCTTAGATTATAGCGTATGACATTTCTGTTTTCGAATGTATTTGGTGTCTGGATAGTGTTAAAGTAATTTTGGAGCCAGCAAGCCTTGTATAATAACTACTTGCAGAAATGCTATTAGCATCGAACATATAGAGTTGTTGTTCCTGCTGCTTTTTGACAAGTTTTGCCGTTTAGAGAAAGGAAGAATTTTATGCGGTTTAGTTTCTTAAATTTCACAAATTTCAGCCTTTATATAAAACAAATTCTTATAGCTAGTAGTAATCGTAGATTAAAGAGTGCGTTCGAGTATTGGAAGGTTTGGTATGTTAAAAAAACAAAAATTCTAGGGACAGAATTTTATGCCTGAGCTGTTAGATAGGCGTGAAATTGGCCTCCCTCCAGCAGGGACGGAAACAAATTGATCGCAAAACACGTGCATACGAGAGTGTTTGTTCTCGTTCATACATGTATTACGTAACATTACTTACGACCGGTCAGTATAAAACACGGATAGCAATCGGTGAGCCGCATTTAGTCCGCAGTCCGCGTTTTATACCCGAGTTCGTGTTTTATACCAAGTCCGAAATGCTTAGTCCGCTTTTTATACCTCAGTCAGTGTACTTGTTTTATACTCGGTCCGTAGTCCTCAGTCCCCAGTCCACAGTTCACAGTTCACAGTTCGCAATCCGCAGTCCGCAGTCCGCAGTCCGCAGTCCTTGTTTTATATTGACCGGAACGCTACGATTCTGGACCATGCGATTGCGCAATAACGGGCGATAATGTTTTTCAATTAATATTCTAATTTTTTGTTACGCGCCACTGAACATGCAAATCAGTATGTTTGGTATGTTTTGTTAAATCGATTTATTATTTTTTGATCAAATGATAAGGTCGCCTTACAGGCTATCTTACTGACTTGGAGACTTTCTTAATGAATTAATTCGCTTAACTGATTCGTCCAACTCAACAACTATACCGCTTTGCAACGAAAAATCAAGGTTTACGTGTCAATAACAAAAATTGTACAAAAAAAATATACATTATAACATAAAATGTTTAAGCAAGCGACCGGAACGATGATCCTGCTGGTATACCTTGGATCAATAGTGATCTAATCGGCTTTACATATAAAATGAAGGATACAAAAGCAAAAACCGACACAACGTAGAATGATTTTTTGAAGGTGTACTATATTTCGGCTGGCCAAACCAGCCTTCTTCAGGTGCAATGGAAGATTTTACATTGGTGTGTGTTTTTATGTAGCCGATATTTACGTAATAGGGGAAATACGCAAAAGTAATTGATAGTGTAAATTGAAGATAAGCGTACGGTAAAATAAAATAACATGATAAAAGAACATAATAAAAGAAAACATATGGAAACAATTAATATGTTTCTTCGCGGATGTTCAGACCATTAGGATCAATTGTTCTGCCTTTTTGAATTAAAAAAGCTTCCCTGGCCGTACGGATAGAGTCTCGGTTAGAAACGATTTTTTCGATGGGGATTAATTGCATGTCGTTAGCAGTGTGGTTAGGAGAGGACAGTAGTCCTATCTAATTCCTATTGAGCCATCATGGACGAAATCTCTATGTACGCACGGCCGTGCGTATATAAGATGACGAATGCGTTTCAATTTAGCTGCAAAATTTCCGTCGAGTTTAGTGCAAGTTCCTTTTGTTTGAGTTTCGGCAATGTGAAGATTATTCAGTGAACAATCCAAACTCTTCTTCGAGCCTTTGACTTTTGCCAAGCTAAGATGTTTACTTAAACTTGAGTATTTTAATTTGTCTACATTTTCATTATAATTAATTCGAAGAAGCGAATTTCTCGTTGACAATTTTAGAAACCAGGTTAAGCGTTTTCGTTCAACCGTTGCTCAACTGATTGTGTCGTCTTTGGATCCTAATGGCCTTTGTTTTCCTTCACCGTGCATTGTGAGAACTTTGTAGTCAATCACAAATAAAATATGTTTTAGCGGCCAAGGTGTTGTCGCCCTGTTATAAAAGAATTGGTTCATGCTTTTAGCTGTGCGTATATCGAGTTATGGATGCACTTGGTAAGTTTGGAGAGCACTCAAGAAGCTAGAGTTGCTCTCGGCTGTCACCTCGAGCAACTCTTACGCTTCTTTCGTGCTCTCCAAACTTCTCGCGTTCATCCATAACTCGATATACGCACGCTAAGCATGAACCAATTCTTAATTATTCAAATGTATCTCGTTTCACGTTCGTTGTGTATCTTCTCGGCCAATTTTGTTGAAATTCGCAAGATATTGTAGCACACACAAGTATCTGGGCACGATGTAAGGCCTCTGTTTTTCAAAGATACATCGGAAACGGATACAGAAATAACGTTTTATTCTTTATATGGGTTCTTTTGCGTCTGTAGGCCTTTGTAGCTTCGGTAATTTGCAAAACGCAACAAAGCACTCGCAATGATCGTACCTGACCTATTTTCCCTATCTTTGCTGATGCTTAATTGTGAGCTGGAAAATCCACACCGATTAAAAAGTTGGGAATACCTTCACTATCGTTCTCCAATTAAGAAATAAGCACTGATTTTTTTTTTTCTTGCTTTGGATGAGCGAAAAATCATTGTGCTTAGCAAAGATAATATCTGCATACGCCATTTCAAAGAGTATGCAAATTTTCAAGGGCTTGCTTCCATCGGGTTGTTTATGCATGTTCACGCACATGTACTAGTTATGGCAGTGTACTAAATGTTGATGAACCACTTACCATTTTGATTATTACTTGCTGTACTTTCAAGAAAAGAAAACGTTTTGCCTTGATTTGTCTGTGTAGTCGGGCGTTCTCCGAGATCAGACAGAAACAATATTACTCATGCATCAGAGCTCATGCATGTTAAAAAAACATGCTTGGGTGTGGCTCGCTGTGATTGGCTGTCACCTAGTGGTTAGTATAATTGCGTGCTAATTCGCTCTGCTCAAACTAACGTTAATCATTTTCCTCTTAAATGCAATACATTCAAAACAAACAACGCTGTTTTGATGGTTCGATGCTCAGGGACCTCATGCGATCAGGCATTCTAACCTCATGAGAGAGGAGATAAACGAACGGCAAACACGTCGAAAACTGGAACGCTAGAGAGAGGAAGGAGCACCTCGTGCTAATGAATTTATGGTATCAAATAACCAATCAAAAGGTGCCACAGATACTCCTGCAAAGAATTGTGTTAAACATACCAGCGGAAAATACTTTTCAAAGGTTTGGATGGGGTTAACTGACAAATGGAGAAAAAAATACCGTAACTGACAAATACCCGAAAATTTAACTGACAACAACAAGAACAACATTTATTACTTATATTGCGCTTTTTCTATAAAAATTAGATAAATTCAAGGCTTGACAGCGTATCATCCCTCATGGATACAATTTTCAGTCGCAGTCACAGTATCAACCTCACCGGAGTTATCAGCAGGATTGAACGAAATATATAGCTGTGTATCATGCGCATAGGGGTGAACGGATGGCAGATGGGATTTCAGAATATCAAACAACGGATTCGCGTAGATGATGAATAAGAGGGGGCCTAGGCACGAGCCCCGCGGGACCCCGCAGCCCAGGTTGAATTTCTCAGAAAGCGTTCCATTCATAGAGACCTGCTACGTTCTTCCTGCTAAATAGGATTTAAACCATGATAAAGCCTTACCGCGCAGTTCAAGCTTGGACTGCAGCCTGTGCAGAAGTATGCCATGGTCTACAGTATCAAACGCCGCACTGAGATCTAACATGACAAATAAGGTTACGTGACCCTTGTCCATATTCAGCAATAGATCATTTTTGACTCTCAATAACGCAGTCTCAGTGCTATGATTTGGACGATATGCGCTCTAGAGATCTGGAAATAAGCTGCTGGCTGCCATATGATCTTGCATTTGGATAGCGACAGACTTTTCCACAATCTTGGACGTAAACTGCAAATTGCTTACAGGTCGAAAGTTGCTGTTGATAGGTTGAAGGTCTGCTTTCTTGAGAAGAGGGTGTACTAAAGCATTCTTCCAATCCTCCACAAAGACGCGAGATTAAAGAGATAGGTTAATGATATTCGTAAGAACAGGGAACAACTCATCCAAACAAAAGGTCAGAATAGACAGTGGTAAAGGATCAAGGGCACACGTTTTTATACTTGAAGAAGCAACTGACATTTGTGGTCAGATTTACTGACAACTGACAAAAGGCTTTACTCATTGTCAATCGTTTGAAATTCACTGAAAAGAACTTTTTTCGGTGGGAGTATTATTACTTTGACCTTGGTCGTTTAATTTGTATAACCTTTATTAATTAGCATCGCCAGCTTGATGACCGACAACAGCAAATTAGCAAACTACTTTCTTCTTGGTGTTGTAGAAACTATTGCTGGTTAGCTATTGTGTTTTGGTTTGGGTATCGTTTATTGTCTTTCGAATCTTTTGTTTCACGTCGTCTGGTGATTACACTATCCGCAACACCAAGAAACCACATTTTCATAGTCTGTTTGTCACAAGATGGCCGAGCGTGCTAACGAAACAAAAACCGCGCAAGATATAATTAGCTCGAACGCAACGGCAAACCTCTCTACCAAGGCCACTTTATTTGCATGGTCCTTACATTCACTCTTATCTTAACCACTCTACAACAGCCACCTCTCCACAACGGTAACGGCCATTAAAACGCGTCCCAACTGTCTATTAAAAATACCCTCATCTCTCGACAAGCAATGGCCATTTTTAACTAGGAGATTGCGTAAGCAATCCATAGGGTTTTAGTGGTGGTGCAGATTATGCAAATGATATGCAAATGATGTCCTTCCATCATCTGTAAACTTTTTGGAGTAATTCCGCTGACCAGTAGATAAAGCTCCAGAAATCACTGTATTAGTCAATAATGCAGGCACGTGTATCGTTTTACATTACTAGGTCTAGCTGCGATTGTTGCACTAAAAATGGAAACTTGTTTTGTTTGCTTTCTGGGTATAGTTCATTTAACATTTCTATTACAATTCTAATCTTAAATTAACAGTTAACTCCAAAAAAGACCTAATGTTGATTTTTGTAATGCGCATTGGGAACGTTTTAGATGACAAAGGTGAAGTTACTGGAAGCTGCTATTGTAAATTTCGGTTCCGAAGTTTGAAGTTTAGTAAAGATTGACAAGAGGCAATCCTCTCTGCATATCGATGGTACTACCACTGGATGGTTGAGCTCCAGCTGAAATTAAATTGCGGAAATCAAAGCAAACAGTTTCGTTGAGGCCAACGTAGCATTTGTCGAAAAAGTCTCTCATAAAAAACATCGCGGTCTTGCGAGCCTTTAAAAGGCTCATGATTACGCCAGATTATAAGTTTCAACCGCGGGCATGGAATCCACGGCGAGAAAATCCTGCTCAGTCTTCAGGACAAACTCACATAAATCGCATTGGCTGACGAATCCCAAAGACAGAAATTTTTGGGTTTGATTCTGAGGTCATTTGAATTAACAAAAAATGGATTCGTGCTACAGTTGTACGGCGAATTTTACTGGAAAAAAGGTCGAATAGGACTCCTCTGTTCCCTGTGTACTAGCCACATTAAACGTCGGATTCCGAGAAGTTTGGAGTTTAAGAGACTATATGTCCCATATTTGTTAGCTAATTCGCATAATTGCCAGCCAATTTGAGATTAGGCTGAAGTACTTTTTGTCTTTCCCCTTTGAAGCAAGGTTTCTTACGTGTTACTATGGTCAACACCCACGTTCCAATCTAGTGGACCTGAGTTAGATTCCGGGATTCGTCGGCTTTTTTTCCGCTTGTTTTTTTAAGCCACTGGTCTTTTTATTTTCTTGTTTAACCCTTTTTTGGTGAAGGACATCCACAAGTAGCTACACGTACTTATTTCAAGCTTGGAACCGATAAGGACACGGTTTTTGACGTTACGCGACCTTGCTGTTTTGCATAATGGACCTCAATTGCATCCGATGGCTTAGAAGTTGTGCGTTTTTTAATTCATAATAAAAAAATTCGATTTCTCCGAAGATCTTTTGCAGCTACCCTGCGAGCAGAGTCGCTTCGATCTCATTCGCAAACTATTCGCTTTCGATCTAACGGCGCTGAGTCGCGTAAAGCAGACTACGCTTTCGTCTTTAGGCGGGAAGAAAAATAAGTTGGGCAAGGTGATGAGAAGTTTACAAGGTAGGGTGGCTCAGTCGAGAATGAGTAAATCGATTAGAGCAATGCAGGTCATGTAATGGAGGTTTGCCAGTTCTTGTACTTCATGTAGTATGCATGAAAAGTTATTCCTTTTTTTTTTAAGACTGCTGTTATAACAAGTATAGGCAGAAGTCAATATGGTAATTCGTATAACTAGAATAACCCGTAAGCCACACATGTCAATCATCATCCAATGAGCAATCGACGCGTTTGCTCATATTGTAAAAGGTCACAATTTGATCCGTACTGTACCTCACGTCGTTGGTCTCTGCTTTTGTTTGCCTGTTTTGTTGATATATTTTGAAAATGTGTTATGTATTTATACATGATGTCAAAATAAGCGTTTCTCTGTTTAGAAAACGATGCATTCCCGAAAAGGCAGGTGTCATATTACACCCCTACCTCCCCATAACGGCCACGTCTCTACAACGGCCACTTTCGTTTGTCCCCAAGGTTGCCGTTGTGGAGAGGTCCCACTATACTCTCCATAAAAGGGGTAAACTAGGAGAGGTTTTAAACCGTGTAAGGCCTTGAGTAAATTATTTTTTAAAACAGCTTACTGATAACTGCAAATGGCCCAACATTAAACTGACAACTGACAAATAGACAAATTTTAAGCGGACAACTGACATTCGCAACGTCCCATCCAGACCCTCTAGTTCAGCCCCCAAAGAACCAAAAAAAAAAAAAAAATTGGCGATCCCCCCGAAAAACAAAACAAAAAAAGATTAAAATAAATAAAAAATAAAAACAGAAATCGCATTTCATCCACTTATTTTAAGGGATAGTTTCACTGTTCGGCACATGTGTAAGAGATGTATGTAGTCCATCCAATTCCATTGTTTCTGTAACAATCAGATGCGAGATAACTCGCGCGTCCAGTCCAGAATAAAACCGTTCGGCCGCATAATAAATTCGATGTTCAATACTGAATTCCACATGTTCTGTCTAAATCTGTTGACACCTTCCGTGAACTGATTTTGGGCATCAGTAATTCTGTCAACTTTCGTTTTAACCGGATGGCTATTTTGGGGATGTACCGGAAAAATAAACAAGAGCTGGGAGGTATAGATGAAGGCTTGATTTGATAAATATTTAACCGTAACGTAGCTAAGTTCTTTCTAAGCCCTATCCGTCCCAGAATGGGACGCATTGGTCCCATAATGGAGCATTGCGCGACGTAAATCTAATTAAGGTCATTCTACTGAAATAGAACCTGCACTGAGATTTTTGTGAAACTTTGCCTATTGATTGTTTATATTATAGGAACTTAAATTTTGAAATAAAAAATGGGAGGTCCACATGTTCGTTTAGGAGCAACAACACCTTGTTTATACCCATATAAATCTTTATAATAGCATCATGACTGTAGTCACGATTGCTTGCTAAATTCACGTTTCCGACGATTGCTTTTTGTTCTACACTGAGAACTGGTCCATATTTATTTTACAGAGAGAAATCTATTACTCAATTCAAAACAACAGAAAAAAACGATAGGTCACCATACTCGTTTGCGAGAAAATGACGATTTACCTCTATGGCAAGGTCCAGCTGTAAACAAAAAGCCGCCATTGTTTTTAATGCGCGCGCGCTAATCACGCGTGAAATTATGCGCAGTAAGGATGCGCAATGCAATACTGGAGAATAACCTTAATACGTCAGTTCCGATTCCGCAAATCAAACTAATTTTCACATGAAAGGTTTTGCACGAAGAATCGTTTTGAAACAGAAACACAAGGTAGCTCGGAAATAGCCTATTGGTGATACAGAAGTCTCCTTAATTGTTAAGAGGACTTCTGTTACCCGTTCAACCAGTTCTTCCCTTGCATTAATTAGTCGGTCTTGGATCTTAATCTTACCTCGCGGCCTTGTAGGTATCGTTATCGGTTTTGGTGTCGTGGTTGGGATCGGTTTAGTTGTAGGCACTTTGAAGGAAAACAAACGCCAGGTGAGATTAATTCACCACTCATTGTAACAAAACAACAAAATGGATACTAGAGCGGTTTTCAATTGAGTGTTATAAAAACAAAACCAAAGTATTCGTTCTGGCCAATCACAGAGGACGGAGAAAATCCAGTGAGCCTATCAAAACTCGAAGTAATTGCATGTAGCTGAAGCAAAGCGCGGGAAAACAGGTGCAAACGAGTTACGATTAGTTTTAGTTTTACTTCTGCATATCTGATTGGATGAAAACGTGGCGTGAGTTTTTTTTAAGCCAATCGTGTAGCGTCAAAACCAATTATTTTTCGACACTCAAATGAAAACCGCTCTATCATAACATGCCCTCAATTGCGTTTTCACTATTTCCAGTTTCAATTCTATTGTTAGGTCAAGCGGACGTCTTTCTGCTAAGCAACCTCATCATTCCATCCTGCAGACAAGGGTATTGACTCGAATCTCATCTCTGAGATACTGAAGGAGCCGCCTCTCGAAAATTATTAGTAAACGATTGTTTTTTCATATGCATAGCGCAATTACGGTAATTGAAGGTAACGTCTACTTCTCGCATTACACAAAACAGCGTTTACAATTAATCCGTTTACAATTAATTTCTTGTGAAACACGGATAATTGCTTTCACGGTAGTGAGACGTTCGGCTCGTACTACACTTACAGAATTAGTATAAGTAATCAAATAGTGGCGCGTGAAATTAGGAAATAATTAGAATTTTGACAAAACGCAACAGGAATCATTTCCTAATTTCTCGAGTCAGTACCATTTGATTACCTTATTACGCTTACGATTGCGGGCTTGTGACTGGCTTATTGTATTTTATTGTATTTCACGTAAAATTGTAAATTAACGCTGAAAGTTCGCGCCAAAAATAAGGCGTAATTTTTCAACCAGGATATTACGTTACGCATAAGCACTTGCCACACATACAACTACTTACACGGCCTGAAGCACGTTTTACTAGCCGCCAAAATTTGTTTCCGGTTTAGCGCACGACTGTAGATTTGCACACAGAAAATCCTTCCCTTGAAGTACCGTTTGTCACCACGACGCGCACCAATTCTGATTGGATAGTTCGTAGCCAATCGGAATCGTCCAATACTCTTCACCACAAGCAACCTCGAGTTCACCCATAGTTTGGCAACACCACTCTTGTAGTCGTATGTAGCACCGATGTAATTCCAGGCTCTGTACCGTATCTTTCTGCTCGTGACGACCACTGCTTTGGTAAACACTCCATCCCTGCGGACGAACCGTGCAAATAACGTGCGTGGTCCAACCATCCACAAGTGAACGCCCCATCCGGGACCTGGTCTGTAGTTGACGATAGGACCTTTGATGTCCTCGTGATAAACCCAGGTCAGAATGGAAATGGAGGCCACGGTGTCAAGTTTGCCGTTGTTCGGGATTTCGACGTAGCTGTTGCGGTTGCCATAGAATTGGGTGGATCCGTCTTTTCGTCCGTCTGGACCTGGGGCGATTCTCACGCCAACTCGCCTTGCGGTCGGGCATTTTCGTGGGCTGATGTCACGGCCGCCATTAATTCTGTCCAGTGGATAAACAGCGACTAGAAGTGGAAGAGCTGAAAGGAGAAAAGATGTATGAGAAGGTGATAAAATAATACGGACATGCCGTCAACACTGACGAAGGAGGCTGAAAATATGGATGTCAAAATCTAAAGAGATGCCGGTTGTTTGCCATTTACATGAAGAAAGCGGTTCGTCAACGGTTGTGCGAATGGTAAGCAAAAATGCCTGATGGTGACTTTCATTCGGATTGGCCACTTACCATCTACCCCAAACCCCCTAATTTACCGAGATAGACTACTGACGAGTTAAACCTGATCATAATTCCAAGAGGGCGGCGAATAATTGCAAATGGTAAGCACATTTTCCACTCGGATATTTCAGTTGGAAATTTTTGACTACCTTTCAAGACGTTCCTTTTATTTCGAAGATTTTCCGGTCGGTCGAGCCAAAATTGTCTTACCATTTACATTTTTACCGAACTTTCAAATCTCAAGAGTTTTCATTGAATATGGTAAGTGAGATAGAAAAGTTGGTCTTACCTGGTGGTGGACGAGTAGGCGTGGGTCGAGCTGACGAAGAACAAAGAAAATTTCAAAAGATCAATATCAATAGCGCGATATCGATATTAAATTGAAAACTTCTTTTAACGATAATTCTGAAAACAAACCTCTGAAACACTTCTTTTTCAGAGCTCCGAGTTGTCTCCCATTCAATGCTCGATCGTAAATCTGAAGACATGCTATCCGGCCACGGAAAATCTTTCGATCTCTTGGCTTTTTCCCTGATATAGCTGGGTAGTTAGTCGCCAGTTGGATCTTTCCAATATTCCTCTGAGATATAGGTATGGCATCATTCCACAGAGTGGCCAAACCAGTGACGTAATCGTAGGTTGCCGCTATGTAGTTCCAGGCCTTCGGTTTGATTCGCCGGCTTGTAACAACGCTGATGGTCTGCAAGGACCTAGGCACGAACTTCACCAGTAGGGTGCGCGGATTCTTCATCCAAAGATGTACCCCCCAGCCGCGAGGGAAGAAGTGGAAGATCGGTCCGCTGCCCTCAGGGTAGACCCACACCACTATGGTGAGGGAATTCTTTGTATCTAGGCAGCCCTTGTTGGGAAAGTATATGTAGCTGTTTGCGATGCCCTGGAGATAGTACGATCCAAGAGGAAGGCCGTCTGGGCCTGGTGCAGGCTTGACGTTGACAAGTCTTGCAGCAGTGTTGCGGTTGATGCTTATATCTCGTCCTCTTGTCACACCGTTAAATGGGAATATAGCTCTGGCGGCTGCTGATCCGGTTACTAAACAGAATAAAAACGACAACGATTGAATCGTTTGTGGTAAGCAAGGTAAGGAGGTCACAAAGATCTTTAAATGAATCAATGGTAAGTTAAGAAGAGGCTGAGGGCCAATTTAAACCAAACATCAAATTTAACGCGTTGTTACTTGAATTATATTCCGATGGCTTAAAAGGCGGCTGATCTGTAAAGTGATCCAGGGCTGATTATAACCGTTAAACGTAATCACTTTTTTTTAACTGTTGCAAATAGAACCGTTGAGATTGTTATTAATGATATCAACTTGTAAACTGTCACTGTTCGATTAAGTGGGTTAAAGACTATTCTTAAGCAGGATAGTGTGTGTGAACATGACTGTGAATTATTGATCACAAATTTAACCCATAAGATACCTGAACATGCTTTAGCTCGTATGGCGCCCAGAACTGCAGCCAACGTCCTCGGCGTCGCCGTGAACACGTGCAGCCCATTTGTAGCGATTTTGAATAACTGCGCCTTGCTAAATCGTCTACCAAAGCCAACAACGAACACTTCAATTCCCATGCGCCTTAAAACGCGTCCCACTCTTTGCACTCTGTCTACTGAGCGTGCACTTGCAAACACCACGAGAACGCGCTTGCGTCCACATTGACGCCTTCTTCTGAACAGGTACCTACGAGCGTAGTACAGAGCTTTTCCTATCCTAAGAGGACCCCTTTGAAGGCGAATTCTTCGTATGGCCGACAACATGGAAGACGCCCTGAAAAACCGGTTAAAGCGGAACAGGAGCCTGGGTCTTGACGCGTACGTAACCATGCCGACTCGGGTCTCTTGAGTGGAAATGCGAAGCGTGTAAAGAAGTCTTGCAATGTAACGTGTAAGAAGTCTGAAAGCTCCGCGCCCTACTCGTCGCAAGTTGTAGGAGCTGTCGATAAGGAATCCAAGATCCATATTCGCTCGGCAAGCTACAGAAAGAAAATATAGAGAACAATAAATTCAAGCAAAGCGCATTTTGAACTTGAGAAGATTGCTATGACGAGAATGTTTTAATAATCAAACATTGAGAACTCAAATTAAAATGTGATCATAAAGCAAACCAATTTTCAAATTTTATGTTTTGCTTTTTTCGCATGAAGGCAGAGGAGTTTTTTTATTACCGCTAACTAAAACCGCACACTTTTAAGATTCGTGAATATACATATCTAAAAGTATGCCAATTAAGGGATAAACTGAAGTGAAGGAATCGGGATAAAAGAAAAAAAAAAAA